CATGCACACACACTTGAAAGTTCTATTAACCTTCCTTGAGTTGGGTATGGATATTTTCTGGAACTGCACAATGATGTGGAACAGTTTTGAATCAATTAACTTGTGTAACTGTAGGCTATCATGTATGTCAACAGTGGAGGTTGCACAACTTAGTTATGAGTACGAGTTGCATTTTTTATGAGTGACTGAACGAGTGACTAGCCAAGTGAGTGACTTACAACTTGAGACAAAAGTAAAGTAGTTGGTTAATTGTAAAATTGTACTTGAATACCATGGCATTTGAACTCAATTCAGAAAACAATGTACTCGAACTATTTGAGGCACTCCCTGTTCTCCAATCTCAATTTAAGACTTGACAATCTTGTAAGAGTAAGATATTGTGGAAGCTTGACATTGAATAAGAATAGGTAGGGGAAAGGGGAGAACAAAAGTCCTAACCTTCTCAACACTTATGTTAGCTTTAGTCCATCTAGTGAGGTGCAAAGGAATGCACTAGAGGTAAAATGGTCGTGCTCGCCTTGGCTAGTTCATGTCATTTGTAGTGGCATACTTTTTAGTCTGTCTGATATTGTTTCCCTCTGCCCTAGATGATCACTTGGGAAACGTACAGATGTCAAACGGAGTGTCCAAGGAAAGTGTTCGCCAACAGAAGATACTGCAGTGTCCCCAGTGCAATGAACTTTTTTCTTGTCCGCACAAATTTACGTCACACCTTCGCAGCCATCCAGAACTCGATCCACTGAAGTGTCCAGTATGTTCAAAGGAATATTCATCGTCCGCTTCTCTAAGCACACACCTCAGGACTCACACTGGAGAGAAGCCATTCGAATGTTCACACTGCCAGAAATGTTTCAGTCAATCAAGTCACCTGACCACTCACATGCGCGTGCATACTGGGGAGAAGCCATATCATTGCCCCAAGTGCCCCAAGACATTTGGACAATCGAGTCACCTGACCTTGCACCTGCGTATTCACAACGGTGAAAAGCCATTTCAATGTCGCTTTTGCACTAAAGTGTTTTCGCATTCGTCAGCTCTGAGCACGCATATGAGAACCCACACTGGTGAGAAGCCTTTCCAGTGTCCACATTGTCCAAAGAAGTTTGGACAGTCAAGCCACCTTAAAATTCATGTACGGACACACACAGGAGAGAGACCTTTCCAGTGTCCACACTGTCAAAAGTGTTTTAGACAATCTTGTTACTTAGCCAAGCATGTGCGAGGACACTCTTCAATTAAACAAGATGATATTTCTTAATACCTGTTACATTATATTGCCAATTGGTCCATTTGTTATCCTACATAGTTTAAGAAACTTTTGTAAAAGACTTAACAGCTTTCTGTTTAGTTCATTTTGGTACTAATAATCCCTTCAATGCTCATTATATCTATAAAAGATATGAATGTTAATGTAGATGTAGATGTAGAAAAGTAGCTCTTATCTTTGTGCTTGGCTTTCTCATAAACAAAGTTTTCATTCCTTAACAGTGTAAACGGAATAGACAAGAATACAATAAATACGAAAGGAAAAGTGTGTAAGTTTTTTTAGCCTACTTACAAGCTCTCCGTGAAGGCCTAACTCTCACATGAATTTAAAATTACCGTTTGGCAACGTGGTAGCATGTACGCGAATGTTACAGACTCTAAATACGGCAGAATAGGGAAAGCTGTCTTTGCTAGGGTTCCCGGGTGTAATTCGCGTCAAGTAAATAAACAGATTGGCAGATCAGTCTTCTGTTCTTTTCTCTCCCCTTGTGTTTCTAGAGGCTGATTACCTTCTCGCTACAATCGCTGGAATCACTGAAGAAAACGTTTAACGACTGTTGTGATCATATGGAAACAACTCTTCAGCGACCATAGCGATAGCTAAGATACGTTTCAGGGCCGGGTTGTTTAAAGCCTGGTTAAGGTAACCCAGGATTAGCGAGAATTTTGATTGCAGTTTTGTACTTTTTCTTTGAGGTTTTCTGTTTGTATTGTTTGTCCTTCAGTTCTTAGCTTCAGTAATCTCTACGCATAACATAACAGGTGAAAAAAATCCTTCTGGGATTTCAGGAACTGGATGCGATCTAAGAGAGGGGATTACTTTAGGGGTAGGATCTATATAAAGAACTATTTCTTACTCTTCCGCGTCCTCTATTTTCTATTGTGATCGTGGCGATTATATGGAAACCGGTTAGCGAGCTAACTTGTAAGCATCGCCACAGGGGACCCGAACACTCTATGAACAGAAAAAATAAATGTACTGTTATTTACTTGTGTTCGTGTGTCTTTTTGAGTCCTTTAGAAGGCATTTGAATGAAGCGAAGGCAGTGTACATTTCCGAATATTATCTCGTTTGCGGCATTGAAATTATGACACTCCAATTACGTCTCAAGACGACATAATATTCGGAAATGTAAACCGCCTTGGCTTCATTCAAATCCCTTCTAAACGACTCAAAAAGACACAGGAACACAGGTAAATAACAGTACATTTATTTTTACTGCTGATATAGTGTTCGGGTCCCCAATGCAATCGCTCAACGATTACTGTTGTGATCGTCTGACTCGTCCCCAGTCGTCTTCATACAACTTCATACAGCGTACGGCTCGGGCCGAGGTGGGAGCGCAGGGTGAGATAGGGAGATTTACTAGAACCCTTCCCATCACCCCTTGCTCACCTTGCACGTCACGAAAATACCACGTGACAACTATGAATCTCTAAATGAAACCTAATCTGGCCTGACTTGAGATAGCAGCTACCCACGAATTTAGCGAACTACCATGATCTTGCTCAATAGGGTGCCGCTTAATTTAGTCTTAAATAGCCGAGTGAAGGTCTTCATCAAAACTCATATCTGATTGTTGTATTTCACTGACTCCTTTCACGGTTGGACAGGTTCAACAGGTCCTGCATGCATATAAGTAGAGTTTACAGGTACATCTACTAGCAAAGCAATTCACACGGTGTAATCAGAGATTGCAGTTGAAACTTGAGATCATACTTTATTTGTAGTCAGGAGAAGGTTTGAGTAATCAACTAGATCTGTTATTTTATAAAATTTGCAATGGGTTATCTCCTCTTCATGATTCAGTATACTAAACACATTCTTTTTAAAATGATGCGTCAGGTCACATTCGTCAAGATTTAGCTAGAGGAGACTTGAACTAACCGCTTGAGGCCACTGTACGGGTGTTTTATCTGTTATGGAGACTATAAAACAAACAATTCCTGTGGGTAATGACAAAATATGAATCCATTTGTGTTTTATTGCGGATTTTACAGGATTGCCGCAAGAATGAGAGGGATTGGTTTGGCTATCCTATCCGTTTTAGCAGCAGGTAAATATACTTGAACAGTGAACTGTTCGATTAAAACTGAATTATAACAATAAGACGCCATTCCAGAATGTACGGTGACTAAATTCTATGGTATAAAATATTTACAACTGTTTGGCAATGTCATTAAGCCAAAACGCTTTAGTTTATTTTTTTTGATACGTGGACAAGTAAGGTTTACAACGTCCATTGTCCTTGGAACTTGAATGTCAGTTGGGATGCCTCACAAAGACAAAGAGAGCGAATCCCAGCGCCTTGTGAGGGTAAAAACTAGTTATGCAATGCTTTCGAGTGGTATGAATATCCCACCAGTCACTGTGTTTTTTCGAAAGGCTCGTGTGTAAACCAAGAAAATACAAGTGACGAGTGGGATATTCCATGGTATTCCATGAGAGAGCGCTGTATTGCTATGTTATACCATGCATGATGGGAAGGTTGGATGTAATACCGTCGAATATACAACGGCTTTCCTGTATTGAGGGTGGTAAAGGTCGTGACCCGTGATCGGCCCTTTTTATTTCCTGTGAAATGTGAAATAGCCATTTTTTTCCTCGTGAATCGTGATTTCCATAGTCGCCGTAAACCGTGATTTTCCAAAACGTTCTCTTTTATTTTCCGTGAAGCGTGAAATGCCAATGTTGTATTTTTCGTGAATTGTGAAAGGGCTGCTTTATTTTCCGTGAAACGTGATCCATACCCCCCCCCCCCTTTACCACCCTCTGTATTCTGATTGGCTGTATTTTCTATGGCATGGTATAAAACATAATATATCCCTGCGGCAGTTCTGACTTTTTCTTCAGACTCAGCCTTGCATGTAAAGTGAACTAGAAATTTCAGTCATTAGCTCGTAACTGAAAGCTTGTCCTAGAGGTCAGCGTATTTTCATCTGTTGTCTACTGATGCATTCATTTTGTCACACACAGTTTCACTTGCAGAAAAGGAACAATTTATGTGCCATAACAAGATAGACATGGTAATTCTCATGGATGGTTCAGGGAGCGTAACAATGGATCAGTTTAAAGTCGGAAAGAAATTTGTCGCCGACCTCATAAAACACTTCGACATTTCAAAGGAGAAGACGAACGTGGCAATGGCATCATATAGTCAATACACCCACACAGGAAGAACGTTTAACGACAAGACTTCTCGAGAATCTGTTTTAAAGGCGGTAGATGAACTCCCATATGAAGGAGCCGCAAGTCGACTCGACTTTGGATTTGATCTTATAGAATTTAAACTTTTTGACGCCAAAAACGGGGCGAGGACAAGTAGTAAAGGTGAAAGTCATACGGCTTCTAATACATAGGCTGGTTTTCACCAGTGCATAAGCATAAGCATAAGTATGAACGTGAGCATAAGCATAAATTAGCATAGCAGTCAACCAGTCATAACTTACTTTGACCCAGACTTCTGCAAAAACTAACATTATCACAAACAATTTGGACATATTGTTTAAACATGGAGGAGGGCTAATATACATTCCCAGAGGCACATTCTTCTTTTGTTGACGCGAATGAATGCGGTATCGAGGATCCAGTTTCTTGCTCTTTTGCGAATGTCCTCGTGCTTATGTTCTGGTGTCTTCACTGGCTTATGTTTCTTTTTGTGGTTATGCTTATGTTTGTTCTTATACTAACTGATTAGTGTAAACCAGCTATACATGCCGAGATCTGGCAAGTTCAAGTTACTAGAGAGCCTGGAACTGGTTTTAGTAGCCGCAAATACATGTCAAAACTGGCGGGAGGCCTCAGGAACTGCCTTACATAAAAGCATGAACATTTTCCGTTTTATATTCCATTTGGAAATTTGGAACTAATTGTTTGCATTGTGGGTAAATTTCTTGATAAAACAAACCACAAATCATAAGAGGAATGGAACCGAAGCTTTCACGGGGCGAGTTACCGAAAAAATTATGTCAACTTTCTGTGTCAACTGAGAAATAACCCGTTTTTTAACTGAGATTTGAGAACTAAAACATCAACTGATAGCTAAGCTAAGAAATGGGCTGAAATTTTAAGGGATAGATGGGAAAATTTGACTGATAAAAAATGACAATCTTGTATCTTTCTTTATCTTCAGATGTAAAGAAGGTGGCAGTGTTTCTATCCGATGGTTTTAGCACGCGAGGTGTGGAATTCACAAAAGCGAGTGCCGATACACTAACAAGAAGAGGTATAAAGCTGTTTTCCGTGGGCATTTCTGGTCATATTGATGAAGCTGAACTAGACGAATTATCAAGCAAGCCAAGAGAAAGCCACCGACTTAATATAGAAACTCCAGGAAAGTTCTTCACTAAAGACCAAGTTGAGCATTTTGCCAAAGAGATTTGTAGACACGAATAACAAAGAAAAACTGCACACGTAGAATATCTAGTCTTAATTGCAATATGTGTTCACTTGATTGCCTGAAACTAAGTTACAACATGAAATCAGTCATGTTGCGAGTGAACGTTATTAGTTCCAGTCAGGTTTTGTTGTACTGCGTCTCCCTTAAAGGCTCTTAGAAGGGTTAACGCATTTGCGCAAGCCTTAATAAACCTGGATATGCAATTGAAGAGAAGTTTAAACCACTAATGTGTCACTTCTGTCTTTCTGTACGCCTTGCAGTATTGAAAATTATTCAATCCGAAGTCAACTTTATTTCACGCTAAATCATCGCGGATAATTCAAAACAAGGGAATAATTTCGCTGGCGATTATTGCTGCACCTGCAGATGACAAACTAATTTAGGCTTTTGCTTGTCGGTCATTTCGCAAGAACGCCAGTCACTTGATCAGCGTTAGCCATTGTGTCCCAGGCTCTTCTCATCATCTTAGGTTTGAACACCTGAAATGTCCAGAGGACTGACACAAATCTATGGCCCAATGTCAGACCACTGAGTTAACGAAGTACATACTTTGCCTGACTTATGCACTGAACTCACTTGGTTCTTCTTAACTGTTCCGACTACATTAATACACAACTTCCGTAAAACCCAAACTAAAGTAATCATTCTGGCCAATCACAACAGACGCAGACAATCCGATGAACCAATCAAAACTCAAAGCAAATTAATGTAGCTAACGCGAGACGCGGGAAAACGCGTGCAAACGAGTCTTGATTGGCTTTGATTTTCATCTGATTGGATGACAAAGTGATACGGGTCTTTTTAAGCCAATTGCTTAGCGAATAGTATAATTACTATTTCGACACACAAGTGAAAACTGTTATAAAGCTTCAATAGACGGAAGGTATATGAAAATCCTGAAAATGAATAATATGGAGAAAACCTGTAATATTAATGCCAATGAATTCAATAAATCACTGAATTGTTCATTTTATCGCAGACTTAGTGCCGACATTACAGGTGACATTACAAAAGTGGTTCACAGAGCGCATGGAAGCGGACTAGCTATGTTTATATCACAGTGGTACGTCGCGGCGTAGTGTATATGTATGCCTATACGTTTAAGCTCGTACAACACAAGTTTTGCTGAAAATGTTTTTCCCCAAAATACGAAACGCGTATTTCAACTCTTTTGAAGTTCTCGGGACATGTGACGAGGAGCAAATTTTTCAGGGATCCGATATCCTCTCGTATGAAGAGTACACGAATTGGCGCTTCAACATATCGCTTCGTGTGGCAGCAACTTAAGGACGGTGCCTTTTAAATATACAAGTCTTTGCACCAGATTAGGACAATGTGGAAAAAGTAGATCTTAGCAAGGGCTATAGGAACCCATAAAGAAAACTAGGGCAGCCACGCTTTTTCCGAGATAATTAACCTTGAATCTCCATTAAAAATCAGTGCTGACGTCAGCATTTTTCTGAAAAAGAAGGAAGAGATTTCTCTTCACAGATTTCCTTTGAATTCGTCGTGGCATACAAAAAAAAAAGACAAATGATAAAGTTTTTTAAACTAAATGGTAAATGGTAACAATAAAACCACTTTTGGTATGTTTTTAAAACAAAATCCTCGCAACAGCGCTTTTAGCGTCCTTGACAGCTCTCTGGTTTAGCCAAAATACTAGGCTCGATTTCCAGCCGTTTTGTGAGTCCGCGTTCTTTGCCCCACAAGGAGGATAAACAACCGGACTCCCAAAACGGCTGGAAATTGAGCCCAACAAAATACAGGCTAAATAGGTTTTCGTCACAACCAGAAATTAATCACGTGTTAAATAGGCTTGCCACTTTGATTTCATAGCATAAAATGTAGGGGTAACCACGCGTTTTTAAAAGTTTAATGACTTCTTCTCATCTTTTTTGAAGACTTTTACGATGCCCGTTACATTTTTTCCTATCACCTCCCCAGTAAGTCAAACATTTGCGTCTCTCGCACTTGTTTTGCGTGCACTATGCCATCTGCAAGTACTTGTTTACAGTTGAATTTCGGTCTAAGTTTGTACGGATAACAGCTAGTTTTTAAGCTGGAAGTCGTTAACAGTTAGTCCCGGGTAAACGATATGCTGCTATTCTGGTGTTCCTAGTTTAGTATAGCTTCATTAAAACTTGATTTGGTCACAGTAGGAAAATTTTGCTTTCATTTTAGTGAGGGTAGCGTAGTTGATTACGTCAATGTCAATGTCAGCACGCGCGTGGCGTGTAAACCGTGCCTTGCGTGATGCGCTGAACGTGTGCGCCTAAAAAAAGTAGGCACCGTCCGTAATGCACGTACGTTGCCTGGAGAGCATGTTTTCTTTTTCGAATTTAAAAATTTTACCTCTGAAAAGAAGGCGAAACACTCATGATGAAGTTAAGTATTATATACCGAAATGTAAAGCAAACTGTATTAGCTGAAATAGAGCAAAGACAACACGAGAAACTTCTTTTGTTAGATTGATGTAATGTTAAATTGAAGAAAAACAAATATATGTTACATCATTAATTGAACTAGAGAATTAAATAGACTGAGGATGTATGTTAGCATATCCTTGATATTACAGTTTATCGATCAGGTCAGACTTATTCAAACTGTGTTTTTTTTTTTTTTTTTTTTTTGCAGTTTTTATCACATCACTTATCTTACAAAGCGTAGTTACAACATAACTGTATTATAATACAATACTTCTCTCACTACGTTACATCACTTTACAATACATAACTTTACTTCACTTGCATTCCATCACATTTCTTACATTTTTGTATTAATGACTTCACATTATTATACTTGTGCAGCTTTATACGTATCTCAAAAACGCTCATACTTATTTATTTACAACGAAATGGCTGAAACATTAACAAGAAATACCCTACTGAACTATTATACTAGACTTATAAGTACATCGTTTCAGTTTCAGCAGTTTTCGCGAGAAGTCAGGAGGTAATATATTTTCTATATTCTAAGGGATGATATAGTACATTAAACTACTGTAAAGGCCTAGGATTTCTTGATAAAATCGTAAGACATAGTTACAATAGCGCGTTTTCGATGAATTCATTTTACACTGTTTAGGCTAAAGGTAAAATTGCTGCCAGTTTCTCGGAGCATTTTTACACAAGAATTAAGTCTTTGTTTATGTACTTTGTAATAATCTGTTGTAAAAGGGCAATAATCATATGATAAATCGAAAATTTGATTGAATTACACTGTGTAATGTTTGAAAGATGAAACGAGATTAATTTAAGAGGACTTGATTTGTCCTGGGAAACCTATAAGAAAAAGAAACAACAAAATCGGTTATGCTGGTTTAGGCTAATGACTCGCTGATAACTTACTAGACGGAAATAGTTGTAAAAGAAGATGGCTTACCAGTCAATTTGGCCAGTTCACGGTCATCCCTTGAGAACCGCAGTTTCTCCATGGCCGCCTCGCTGAAAACAAAATAGACATGACAGCCATTTGTTATATTCATATTTCATAGCCGTCAGGCTGTTCACTAAAAACCGGGCCCCTGTTGTTCAAAGGCCGGGTGTATAACGCTATCCACCGGATAAATCACTATCCAGTGGATAACGAGATTTGTTTTGCTAACACTTATCCAGTGGGTAGCAATTTGTCTCGCGGACAGCGTTATCTACCCTTCGAACAACTGGCTCCACTAGAGGGCAAGAAGACGAGTTAAGAAAAAGGGAGTTCCGTTTATAGTATCCGACAACACATGATGTCTCAATGATGTACCACCAAAGCCATATTCGTATTGTCGATATTGAACTGGAACTAGCTTGTCTTTTCAAATGCAAATGACATTAATCTCTTTTTAATGATATTCCCTCGCATCAGCCTCCATTGCAAGCTAGTTCCAGTCCTACACCCTACAATACAGATATACAGAATAAACAGGACAAGTCATGAACCAGTCAGCAAATAGAATTCACAGTTTGATCTTGATAGTATCATGGTCAGATTCTTCCTGGTCAAAATTCCAACACATTTCAACGTATTTTGTGTTAATTTTATAAGAAGCTAGTTTTTGATTGTTTTCTCCCGGGTAAAGTTAAGCCTTTAGCGTACTTGCTCCAGTTGCTCAAAACGATTTGATGATACCGCTATTCCCTGGGTAAATCGCTGTCCTGTGGATTGAGTAGGTGTTCTTGATGAACCTTATCCAGTGGATAGTGATTTATCAGAAACTGGAAACGTTATGTGCCCGTTTAACATCCGGACCCATATGCAGTTTTTAAGTGTTCATAAGTATCTCAGCATAGCATTTAATGCCTGCGAACTATTCTTACTAACCACAAAAAATGAATCCTCTAATTAATTATAAGGCACTTACCTAAAAAAGTGGTGACCAGTGCGGCTTTGCATGCCCAGGCACACTTGCACATACCAGGATGGATTGTGAAAAACAATATGCAAAAGCTGCTCGCCAAACCTGGGAGAAGTGACAGCGACCAAATATTGGAATTAATGATTACATGTAATAAATTTGAGGCGAACTCATAACCAGTTAAGAGTTACTCCAATAACGTGTGTGGTACTCAAATGAAGAGTTAACCACTCAAGATGAGCTTTAATTAGATCAATAATGCGGGGCTTGATTCAAGCACCAGGGCTAGAGAACTTCAGAGTTCTCTACTAATTACATCGAAGCAAATGGCCAACGACACCTTTTGTTTCTCTCACACACTTGTCTTTTTAAAACTCCACAGAATCTCAAAACACTTTGTCCCTTGCGGGTTAGGTATTGATAAAAGATTTAGGTAAGTGAGCAAGACAAAATTGGCTAGAAAAATAACGCCGTTTTCAGTGGCGGCTCCAGACCTTGAGCNTTGCCCCGCCGGCTTTCCTTCCTTCTGTGATTTTTTTGTTTTTTACCCAAAATAAGGGGGCCCGGGGGCCCCCGGGTCTCTCCGCCACTGGTTACATCTGTGTTGTCCAAGAGACGTAACCTGCAATCCTGTACATTCACGTGAAGCATAAATCCAATCAACATTCGAGTTTTGAATCGAGACTCATTTTTGAACGAAAATCTTAGTACAAGAGTGGACAATTTAAAAGAAGAACAAATTCAAATTTGCATCGACAAGTTAATTTATGATTGCGAGAAAAAGAATGTCGGACAAAGGAATACATAGGCTCAAAACTGGATTATACGCATGAAGTTCTGTAAGTACAGGCGAAGAATTTGACAGCGTTTAATCAGTTCAGTTGGTTATATGGAAGACCTCTCATGTCATCTTAAGATTAAGATCAGGCACAGGTTTGTTTTTTTACCACAAGGAAATGGTCTCAAATTGTTCATGTGAATAAATGAATTCATTTACATACTTACCGGGCAGAAAGATGGTGAAACAAATCCCGACCATAAGCAGATTGGTCTGGCAGGTATGTCGTGTCTCCATGGAGTTGTTTGAAGACAACGACACACTTGTCACCGCCAATAATGGAACTAATGTAATCTGGTATGGAGCTGTGGCACAGAGAGAAGAGATGTTTACTAATTCAGTTACAGTGAAAAATAACCTAAACTAACTGTGAAGTTGGTCAACTGGTGTTATAAACAGAAGTGTATACAAGCTGTACGTAACGTACTGCGAAAGAGGAACTAGTGCAAAATTTCATTTTAAAGTTGATCATAATTTATAGTAAATCTTCTTCAAATTAAATTCTTATATTCTGTAAAGGAAGCAAATTACACTGGAAATCGAAACAAGATGTTTGTTTCTCATTGACTTTCTTTCCAACAAAAAACTGTAACCTAATGTAAAACAATGACAGGCTCCTAAACACAATGATAAGTTTTTTGTTCAGGCTTTCGACTAGCAAATTAGTTTAATTTGTATCTACTTACAGTACAAGAATGCAATAAAAAATACTACCGAAAGATACTTACTCTGAGCTCTCTACCGAACCGCTGTATTTTTCAGAATCTACTCTGATTAAATGAAAGCCATATTCATGAAAACCTATTAAAGCAAAAACAGCAATTATCGATGTTTCCCAATCAAGTTAATCTCCTCTCTTTTCTAACGACTTTAGAAAAATGGACACTTGATAAATTTAATTCACTGTACCTTCATATGTAACACAATCAGGGAGAAAAGGCAGATTCCGCGTGCTGGGAAGAATTTCATCAGGCGTAGCTGACAATTCTTAGAAAAAAACACTATTAGTATCGGTTTACTGTATCGAGCACGAGAACTTGATGATCATGTGACTAGTACTAGATTAAGCTTCAGTTCATCATGAGAAAAACCTTATAGTTACCTCATAAAAGCTCAGCATAGTTTGTTCGTAAATAAGAGCATTCTCCATACTAAGAAGACCGCGGTGTTTTTAAAAGAGTGATATGTATTCCTTTTTGAATGTGATTAGTTACCTTCATGGCTCAGATAGACACGAGCAGGGATCGGGACTGTTGTTGTCTGAGGAAGAACTTCGTGATCAGGAATTGCTAAAATTGACACAGAATACATACTCTTAGTTCAAGTTTATTCTAACTTGAAAATTTGCCGTAACGCAGCAGATACACGTAGTTTTTTCATACATTGTTATTATCAGAAAGGGGTAAAAGAAGAGAGTGAGAGAGAAAGAAGGAGAGAAAGATTGAAGAGAGATACTCGTGTTAACCTTGATATAAAAGAACCAAACTAATCCTAGACAGGTGTGAGAATGTTCCTGGGTCACTATGTTGAGAAAACTGGTCAGTTTCCCGTGGCACGGCTCACTATCTAAAAATGTTACGGTTCATATCAAGTGAATGGGGGAGAGCAAGCGATAGAGTTGCCCTGGTTCTTTTTTATTAGCTCCTTTTAGGTGAGATAAAACATACCTTCAAATGCAGGGAGCTTTGCATCATTAAACACTAAATCCTGGTCCGGGAAATTCTTGCCAGCCATTAAGAAACCAAGAGTGGAATATTCCTGCAGGATATTTTCGTACAAGCAAGCTTGAATTGTGTCGGCGCCCTTGGATGGTCTGGGGCGATCAGCTGGTTTCTCAATGGCTTTAGTCCCGTAGGATGGTACATACGGATTTTGCTCTTCATAGCCCTTTGGTATCTGAGACTGAAAAAGGATCATTTAAAATTTCAGTTCTTGCAATAGTGAAGGGAGCTGGTAAACTGTATTTGTGTGTGTGTGTGAATGCATAATTCTTTCCTACTATCCTGTTAGCGGTTTGCTAAGAAACGTCAATAGAAATAATAGAATTAGGGTTGTCCGACGTTTCGATGTCATTTTTACCTCGATAATGATGTCAGCAACATCGAAACGTCGAGACAATTCTGATTTTATTATTTCTATCCTGTTATCAGCTTTAACGTTCGGTAAGCACCGTAAAAAATACTGTAAAATGAAGGTTATAAGTTCTAAGCTTATTTTTACAGGTCTTCGTACATAACTAGGGAAGCTTACATACGGGGCCGGAGGAGGGGGAAGGGGGTTGGAAGTTAGCGGACTCAGTAGAAGATACAGTCGAACCTCCCGTAAGCAACCACTCTAAATGTCAAACCTAGGTGGTCGCTTACGAGAGCTTAAGCCATATTGGGTCAAAACTTTGCCTCATTAGCCGCAGATGGTAACTGCAGAGACTTACCCCATGCTCGAATGTTTCTTTCATACGAGAAGTCAATTTCGAGAAAAATCCGGTACTTCCCATTGAGAAATTTCCGTTTCTTGTACTACTCAGGAATATGATAATGTTACAACACCTTATCATCCAATTTCAGTCGCTTTATTATCGTCAACTGGGCGCTTGTGGGAGGTTAAAAACAAAAAAAAAAATTCAAAATTTTAGCTCTGAAAGTAGTCGCGGTCGCTTACGAGAGGTGATCGCTTATAAGAGGTTCCAAATATAATGATTTGACTTAGAAACTTTTGGTATTTTGGAAAACTGGTCACTGACGAGAGGTGGTCACACAGTGACCGTTTTGATCTTCACTTTCCATGAAAGATTAGACGTTGCAGATTTCTGTTTGCAGTGCAATGTTGTGTGAGCCGGGACATAAACGAATTAACACTGTATGGTTGAAGGTGGGAAGACCTTCATCCGGGATGGGGTGTTGCAGTGTAATATTTATTTTCTCCTTAGCAGATGTATCAGCTTATAACTGGGGGAGGGGGGGAGAGACTGATTAACAATATTCATTTTGTAATGAAATCTTACTAGACAAAACGTTCAGTTGAACACTATAGGCATCTACTTTTTGAGCTGATGTTTGAATCTTTCTTTTTGCATGGCAAGAATTAAACAGGTCATAATCTGCAAAAAAAAATTTTTTTTCAGTTCCCAATATTTTTTTGTGTGTGCGCGTTAACAACGAAAGCTCATTGTAACATGAACAAAACTGATGATATCGGTTTGTGGTTACAATTCTAGGGACGAGACTCTAGTCTCGTGCTAATACTTTTGGTGTGTTATTTTGGCAGAAGAACTCGAACTGAAGAAGGACTAAGCCCAAAACACCATGTACAGGAACATTTGACAATTTCGTCAAAAACCTCAAGTTTACAATTCAATGTTTCATTTTTTGCGTACTAGGGCTCAGCGAACGGCTGACTTATCGATGCTGAATAGCGTCGGTATACTTTGAATTTCGTCGTTGTAATGAAAAGCGGCTTTTGCGGCAGGGTATTTTACAACTGAATTATATTTAGCTCCAAAAAAAAAAAACATTGAAACGGCTCTATAATCCGAATATAAGCATTGACTTCGTTTTCCCGTTCTTTGCGCCGAGTGGACTTGCGGTGAAAACAAACCATCAACTAAAGCGCAAATCTTTGACCTCGATCCAAGTAAACATAGTTCATTGCAAGTCTACACAAGTGCGCGCAAACTTGACCGACACGATTTCTCCCGCTCTGGAGACTGAAGAAACCGTTTGTACCGACGTGAAAACGCTAGCTGCTAGATTGGCAAAACGTTTTGATTCATTAAGATTGATTCTAAGTTAGCCAGGTAAGGAAAATGAGCATAAAAGTACAGAGAGCTTCTTTGATTTTATGCAAACCAATTTTATTTTCTGTCGTGAAAACTGCTATTTTAGTAACCAGGTCTCCAGTCTCAGAGCTCGCGCAAAATTCAAATCTAGATGGCGTGTGCTCTGACATCACAAAGGCTAACGGTTGAAAAAAACCGTCTGTAGAACTCGGTGCGCAAAGACGCGAATTGTTTACGAATTTTGAGTAAAGTTCACAACCATTTGAACTTTGCTCACCTTTCTCTTCTTTTTGAAGCATAAGGCTTGCTTTCTACTAAAACAACAGCCCATTCTTGACGTAAATCTCAACTTTTTCCAACAAACTTTCCGAACTTCACTCTAAGAGAGTTAACGGGAAAATGACGATTCCTGTGAACGCGCGTCTCTTATATACCTGAAGCCATTGTGACGTAATAGCGCGTGCTGTTTAAAACTAGAGCTAAAACGATGATTGGTCGAGAAAATGCGGCTGCATGTTGATCACGTGAAACAAAGCACTTCACTTCCACTTTGTTAGGAAATTTTCAATCAAAATTGTCAAATTATTAACATTTTAATGGCCATGTGTTTGTTGCCTCACTTGGTTCTCCAACTGATATACATCGACATCTACATCTACATCTACATAGGAGGGTCCTACAAAGGGAGACGCCCGTCA